CCCCCCCCCCCCGCCCCCTTCCCTTTTTCTTTGCTTGTGATCAGTAAAATACAATTACCCAATTACCTCCCATCATCTTAGCACTGATTGGTCAATTGCATTAACACTTGATGTCAGGGAAGGGGGCCGGGAGCTGCTCCGACGTGGCATTGCTGCCACCTGCTTGACAGACTGGGAACAAACTCAGGGTTACCTTCAGAAATCTCCAAGCCGGAGTAATTGAAAAACAAGGGATCATCTTAAGGAAAGGAATGTCAAAACTCATTTTCTTAAAAGCCTGCCTGATTCTGACAGTTCAACCAGTATTCGCAGGTTCCAGCCTAGCTGCTGAGGCAGGGTGAATGACAGCAAAATGAAATGGTGTATAAAGTTGTCTTTGCAAAAGAAGTACAGGGCAACCAATATTCACAGGTACCAGCTCTGGCCACAGATGCAGAGGAACGATAATAATATGAAACAAGGTATAAAGTTATCTTTGCAAAAACTAAAACAGTGAATACAATTTGCATTGAAAGACAATCTGTTTTCCAATTACAGAAATCAGTGTTTGTTTAAAACTTGTACGCACATACAAATTACCTAAAGCTCCACTTTGGCCGTTTTTCAAGGGCAAAAGCCCTTTGAACGGCTTCAAGGTTTCAGTGAGTTTAAATCCTACCTTCAGTAAGCTGTGACAGCAGTGCAACAATGCAATGTCTAGGCTTGCCTATCAAATCTGGCACAGTTTGATTAGAATGACTTCTGACATGCAGTTTGGAGTTTTCTGAACCGGCTCCCCAACCTGGGTTCCTGGAGTACTGACTTGTTTGTTATACCTTATGTGTGTTACCTAAAGCATTCAGAATTGGGCTTGTGTCTTGTTTCTCTTGGGTATCTAAGTTCAATGGAAATATTACAGAAAATTTTGCACACATGAGGTCAAACACACTACTCGCTTCATAGAAACTGAATATGGATGATGTATGTGCTGGCATTTGTCTCTCTCAAAATCAGAAAGATATTATTTAAAGATCTAACTCCTCCACACAACCCCCAAAAAAAGAATAAGTCAGGTACTTCAATGGTAATTATAGCAAACTTCAAATATTAAGCAGTAACTCTGAGTTATTCCATGCATATAGTAATATAACGAGCTCTTTACTCAGTCCTCTCCCAAATAGTCAAGATATGTTTGGTGTCCTTACTCAGGCTTCAGCTTTTATGTGAAATTGACATAATTGAAAATAAAACAAAGTTTAAGTTCCATATCATATTAGAAGTTTTTCCAGAACTATAAAATCTATAAGCTAGCTGAATCCAGTCAAGTAAAACTTACTGAATCATTAACATTGACTTTCAGATTTATTCTACTGACTCAACAGGCTTTCTAGTGAGAAGGTCCTACTAGATATAAGTTAAGTAACTGGAACCAGGCACATTTAGTATCTGATCTTTCTATCCCTGAAATCAGTGGCAAACACAAATTACCTGCAATGGGTAAAAGGCTGAGTGTGTAGCAATAATAAATAACTCAAACCTAACCATCTTTCAAAAATGCTAAAAAAGTCTCTGTTTTTTTTGGGGGAAGGTCGTGAGTGTGGTAGGAGATGAAGTTGCTGACAAGCAACAATCTTTTTCTCAGTTGGTAAGCTTATTTTGTTCCTGTCTGATTCACTGATGCTGCTGGAGTATTCTGGGTCTACAAACATCTTATGAGAGTCTTTTTCTTTTTACTACTCAAAATCCGAAAAACACAAGTTGTTTCTTTTCCCAGAAGGATAAAAACATCACAGTCTAATCTGTTTCTTACACTATTTTTTTTCCAAAAAGTTCCTGAAAAATTTCCTACTATTAAAGAATCTGTGAGTGAAAGGGAAGGTTTCTATAACTGAATTAAACAAATATAAAGGTGTCAGATGCAGAAGATACACAATTTTGGGCATCCAATCATAATCTAAGTCACAAATGTCTGCTATTGCTATAGTATCTCTCTTGATACAAAGTGATATTTATGGTAGAAAGATATTGCTGTGCACATTTTCAAACGACATCAAAATACACATTTCTAACAGATAACTGCTTAAATAAATTAAATATCTCTCTATATACAAAGATAATATATTTGCTGGCATACATGTGACTAAACTAAAAATGTAACAAAACTGCAACACGCTCTAGGCTATGATATGATCTCTCTTAAAGTTTGTTATCTTTAATACATCAATTAGGCTTTATCACCTAATAAACATAGAAGATAGTGTGATTAGCTTCTTAGAACATAACTTTATAACAATCTAGTTTGCAATATTTATAGGATGACATTCCACGCTACATGAACTAAATATCCTTATACTAAAAAAAATTTAAAAAAATAGAATTGCATTATATGTTTTACAAGCATATATGTCATGTTCATGTGAAACCTATTTAAAACAAATATTTTGGTAGCATTATAATAACTCATTCCTTTATCAAATGTTAAAAGGCTATCATGAACTCTGGAAAGAACAGTTACATTTTTTATTGTTTGTATACTGCCTTCAAACTTGCCCAAACCTGAGTATGGAAGGATAACAAAATTCAAGTGTATGTACTGGCAAACCTTCACATCATAAACAGGAACTGCAGGTTGTTATAAAGATTGTTATATACATTGTTTTCCTTTCCAACAGACGAGGCCAGTTACAGAAGTCTCTGTGTATGACTAACACTGGAAGAGACCAGTGGAAAAGACCAAATATTCACAATGCTCAGAAATATGGCTAAAGCCTAAGAGAAAAGGATTATGGCCCTAAACAAAGGAGAAGAGGATCACTATAACTGAATAAGCATAACTGAATTTTGAGGAAAAAACCAGTAAAACCAGACCGCTTTACTTAGACAAACTGAAAGCAATTGCAACATTTTCCTAAGTCAGTTGACAGCTCTGTCTTCCTTTTAAATAAAAATGAGGAAATCATAAAGAAAACTGTGGAACACAATATTCTTTCTATTTAATTTAGCTTTGCTGACAAGAACCTCTTTGCATATGGAGAGAGTACTTGAATTCTCTTATAGCTTACTACTTTCAAAAGGAAATAAAAATTGCTGACAAACATACTTTTGATTGCACAGATCTAGGATCAAGCTCATTAATCAATTTATGAATTCAATTGAGATGCTAAAACTCTCAGACTGTATAAAATACATCGTCTATTATCTAACAGGAAGACTGTGAATTTTCTATTGTAACTGGAGCCCACAGTACATAATTTCTTGTTTATGTGATTTCACTGATTATTGTTCAATTCTTTTAATACAACAAGCACTAAAATCAGGTGCATAACCATTAGAATTAGCAGCTGACCGATACTGACTCATTTATTAATTTTTTATGGGTTTTTTTCTGATCGTTACCGTTCTAGTGAGAAATATTATTTTTGCAGGTAATTTCTACTCAGTCAAAATGGCTTGGAAGAAGTAAAAGATATCTTCCTTCCAGGAAAATCTGGGTAAAACCACAGCACATGATTTTGGCACACAGATGTGTACATGACTGTTCAATAAACTCATCTCTTCATAATATCATAATAACAACTGTTTCTGGTAAAGATCCATGAGTGAAAACAGCTTGCTCTTTATTGCTCTTTATTCTAGACTTTCTAGAATTTCTCCTTATGGAACTGAGTCACATACTGTCAAAGTTTTCATTATGCAGAGACAAAACCAATTTCCCAAGCTGATCAAGAGCCATTCCCTTGCTGCAGAGAGGCCTAAGAGTATCCTGGGCTGCACCAGGCAAAGCACTGCCAACAGGTCGAGGGAGGTGATCCTTCCCCTCTGCCCAGCCCCACAGAGGTCACACCTGGAGAGCTGTGTCCAGGTCTGGGCTGCTCAGCACAAGACATGGACAGAGTGGAGAGAATCCAACAAAGAAGCATGAAGTCAACAGGAGCATCTTTCCTATGGGGAAAGGTTGGAAGAGCTGTGACTGTTTAGTCTGAGAAGAGGGGAATCTTATTAATGTCTACATGTACATGAAGGGAGGGTACAAAGAGGATGGATCCAGTGGTGGCCAGTGGCAGAAGCAGAGGCAGTGGACACACACGGAAACACCAGAGGTTCCCTCTGAATACCACGA